TGTGTGTGTGTGTGTGTGTGTGTGTGTGTGTGTGTGTGTGTGTGTGTTTGTGTAGGTATAATGGTACAATTTAAGGATAATTTAGGTATGTCCATAAATCTATTAGTCAAAAATACGTATAAATAAGTTTTAACGTCTTTAAAAAGATTTATTTTTGAAGTTGCGAAAATACAATTTACAAAAAGTCGATTTTCTCAAAACGCTTTTCGGCTTTCAGGGCCTCGTATCGAATTTTAAGATGACGAAATATATGTTGAAAGTAGGATAAATTTATGTTTAGAAGTTCCACAAAGACTACAGATAAATTGAAGATTTTTAATAGTTATTAAAATTTTGGGAAAAGTTCATTGACCCAGGTACAGTTTTTCGAAATTCACTGTATTATACGTCCAGTTTTGGTGAAATTACAGGCACATGACTTATCAACTTATGTCTCCGGGTGACATGCGCAGTGCCCTTCAAATCTTAGCTATTTTACAGCTATAAACAGGCTTGTCGCTTACAACCAGGCGAACGACTTGTTCGTCCCGCCACTTGGTATCATAAAAAAAGTTGTTATATTTTATTATGCATTTTTATATGTGAATAAAAAAAGCACTACCTATTATCATTCTTAACTTTGTAAGAATGATAATAGGTAGTGCTTAGGCAATTAACTATTACATAGACACGTAAGTATATACGACTTATTACGCATTAACGTTGTATTGTAGGCAGCCGTGGACACCTTATAGCTACACATCATAATTCATAATTTATTTATTTAAATGAAATACTCTTTATTACCTATCAGTAGTTCGAAATGACATTTTCCAGAAAAAAACATTTGCTCGAATTTTCATAACCTAGAAAGTAATATTGAGAGGAAAATATTTTTTCGTTTTAACCTAACCTAATCGTGTCTTTGCGATAAACATCCCACATCTCCTAAAAGAACAACGGTTAAGTTATAAATCGGTTTTCGGTGTAATGAAAATTCTCTTCTTCTTTGTATTAATAATTGTAGGTATGTTGTTGAATATTTAACTAAATCTTTGCCGACCGGACTCGTCCTTTTATGACTGGTTATTCAAATGCAATGTCAACATTATCGCGAAGTCAATAACCTTAAAAAAGCTTGTTTAATTTTCAGTTAGCGAATGCCTCATAAATTTATTTATATATGTATATGTATATACAAAGTTAATCTCGTTGATTTGAATAAAATTATTTTTTACAACCGGAGAATTTGAATAGGTTTTATTGAAGCCTGACAAAAATGAAAGCAAGTGCAGATAATTTTACCGTTTTTATAATATACACGCGTAGCTTTATTTAACTCTACATAACATGTTATAGCGCGTGCCAGTGATCTATAGATCGGCATGGTACTATAAAACAATTATTAATTATTACCATCATCATAAAGTAGGCAATAATGACGAACAATGTGATTTCCTGTCATACAGTCACGGTTAATTTTAACTTAAGGACTTTTAAGTACAGAATTGTTACATTGTTAGAGGGACATTCAATAAAAAAAACGTAACTTGCTGCTTAATTTTGAGAAGTACATATTGTACCTCTACATCTTGTTCGTGGAAATAAAAATTCAGCCGTAATCAAATAACGAGGCACGTATGTGCCGTGACACTTAAGCCATGACACTTAAAGGTTGTTATTTAAACTTTAAATATATGTATACCTAATGTGTAGTCCAACTGGCGTCTGCTATTGTTATATTAGGGGTTAAAGTATGAAATTGCCGTTTTATTGCAATAGGTTCTTTGAATTTTCATAGAATCTTCATGGTTTGAGGTTTTCGAATGAAACTTTTTTCAAATGGTTTCTGTGATTTTTTTTTTTTTTCAATTTGAAACATTTGAATATCGACTTTCAATTGTTTTTGTTATTCAATTTAGACAAGAAAGATGGATACTGCGAAAATTCGAGTGATTTTTGAATACGAGTTCCGACGCGGAACTAACGCGGCAGAAACAGCCCGCAATATCAATGCTGCGTTTGGAGAGGGGTCTACTAATGAACGCACCGTGCGATTTTGGTTTAAACGCTTTCGTGATGGAAATTTCGACTTAAAGTACGAGTCACGAGGAAGACCGCCCACACAGGTGAATAACGATGAATTAAGAGAGATAGTGGAAGCCGATCCTAGTCAAACTACCCAGGAATTAGCGGCATGGTTTAACGTTACCTTACCCACAATATTGACTCACTTGCGTCAAATCAATAAAATAAAAAAATACGAAAAATGGGTGCCTCATGATTTGACTGATCTGCAGAAAGAAACGCGTGTTGAAACTTGTGTTGCCTTGTTGAACCGGTACAGAAATGAAGGAATATTGGATCGAATTGTAACATGTGATGAAAAGTGGATTCTTTATGATAACCGGAAAAGAAAAATGCAATGGCTGACCCCAGGTCAAATGCCACAACAGTGTCCTAAAGCAAAACTTACCAATAAAAAGGTAATGGTAACTGTTTGGTGGTCTCAGCATGGTGTTATTCACTATAGTTTTCTCCGATCTGGTCAAGCAATAACGGCAGATGTCTATTGTGCCGAACTCCGAACCATGTTGACAAAACTAGCAGTAAAACAGCCCCGACTCATGAATCGATCTTCACCATTATTGCTCCACGACAACGCGAGACCTCACACAGCACGAGAAACCATTTTGACCCTTCAGGAACTGCAGTTAGAAACCATTCGTCATCCTCCGTATTCACCAGACCTTGCTCCAACGGACTACCATTTTTTTCGTGATTTGGACAATTATCTACGTGACAAAAAGTTTTCTTCCCAGGAGGCAGTACAAAATGCTTTCACACAGTTTGTGCAGTCTAGATCGTCGGAGTTCTATCGCAAAGGCATTAATAACCTTCCCATTAGATGGCAGCAATGTATAGATAATAATGGCAACTATTTTGATTAAATAAATTTGTTAAAAATTTAAACAATAAACAATTTAGATTTTCAGTACAAATCGGCAATTTCATACTTTAACCCCTATTATTATTATTATGTTGAAGGTATTTGCCAATTGTTTGCACGATTCTTTAAATTTTTAGAATATATTCGATATCAAACTATTATTTATTATTAAACTGCCTCCGTGGCCGAACGGTTACCATACCGGACTGCCACGCAGAGGTCCCCGGGTTCGATTCCCGGGCCGGGAGAAATATTTGTATGGCCTACATTTATTTCTCTCGTGAGTTTGGGTGTAATTTGTGGTTGTCTATGTGTGTGTCCATGGCACCCGCGACACAGGGTTTCCCTAGTGCGGGGCTTTGTTGAGTGTGTGTGCGTTATTTAACTGCCTCCGTGGTCGAACGGTTACCAAAGGTCCCAGATTTGATTCCCAGGCCGGGAGAAACATTTGTATGGCCTAAATTTATTTATCTAGTGAGTTTGGTTGTTGTATATGTGTGTCCATGGTACCCACGACACATGGTTTCCCTAGTGCGGGGCTATATTGAGTGTGTGAGTGTGTGCGTTATTTGAATATAAATCGAGTAGGTACATTTGTTTTTTCGAACAAACCCTTCAAGGCTGACCATACCGTGGGCAGTAGAGTGTTGCTTGAAAAACCAAATATACGCGAATAAGGTCCGAAAAAATAGTTTCATTTCCAATGTGTAGTAATCGCGAAAACCTAAAAACTCCAAATTTTTAAAATATCTTTTTCGAGAGGAGGGGGTGCTGGGTTAGTATTGAGGCAGCAACTGGAACTTTTAGTTAAACCATGTCGTATGACAAACGAAACATTATATGCGTTTAGGATGCACTTTAGATTGTCGCGATTTTGTAGTGCCTTTAATATGTTTTCTGAGGCACGTAGAGATTGCTTCTTTAGTATAATAAGAAAGCGTTGTGCCTCACTCTTGGGGGTCTACTCTCGATCTCCGTCTGATATCTGTCCGAAACAATTACTGTCAAATAAGTAATATTCGACAAAATTAAAAGACAAGTATCAAGTATGAAGCTTCATTCGCATCACGCGTCTTTTCATTTGGTCAAGTATTACTTGTTTGGTAGTAATTGTTTCGGACGGAGATCGAGAGTAGACCCCCTGCCTCGGTTGCGCGGCAGTCCGAATAGCATCCTCAGCGTCCTGCCGACAGCTGGAACTCACCGATAGTACGGCGCTGGTTGCAGCTGCATACGGCTTCAAGCCGGTAACTGTGCTATTCTATGGAAGAGTTTCGCCTGCTTGAATTTAAAAAATACTCAATTGTTACGTTGTTACTAATACTATGGATCCCAGACTCCGAAATAAATGAATATTATTATGAATTATAATTATTGATGTATATTTTTCTCAGGTCGCAATGAGTAAAGTTGAGGTTCCGAAGATATCACTGAACGACGGAAATCAAATTCCTATTTTGGGATTAGGAACTTATGGTTCGGTGAGTCAATCACTTTTTAAAGAATCGACTTTAAGATTCTATCGCTCTTATCTTCTGCTGATACAGATAAATTATAATGTACCACATTCTTCTTCTTCGTATTGTGTTGATGTTTCTTTTATTTTAGAACTATATTGACTTTTAATAGTATGTTGCCACCTTGACTGCGTCTGTGGCCGCGTAGAGATCTTCCTTCGAACATGTATTAGGACACAAGGGGCACAACAACAGGTGCTACATGGACTGTGTTGAGGTGGGACACCGCAGTCACATTGGGTTAGACTAGCACCCATGAACCCCCATTTACTTATTATCTTGTCTCTGCAGCGACCTATCTGAGTAGTTTGTATGTATATTAACTGTAGTTGATGCTCTAAGATCTGCTAGTCGATCTTTTTGCTCCGAGAACCTTCTTGCGCATTGAACAGAAAAATGTAAAGGATCTACACTTCCCAGTCCTCCACGTGTAACTTGATGTGTCTTTTTCTCACACAAAAAGTAATTAATCAAGTGTGTTTACTCTTTTTTCTATTTACCGCTCAATCGTACGCGTGTAGTACAATACGCCTATAACTATAACCTTAATCCTCTATTAAATAATATTACTTCACAAGATATGCTTTGGTAAACTAATGAACAGTATTGTAGTTCAAGACGCATTTATAGACCGTTTAGCTAAAATTTAGGAGATGACCAGGCTAAGTCGGTAAAGCACTATAGTTATTTATTGGTGAAAACGGGGCACAGAGATATTCACAGAAACTACCACGTAAGTAAATACTTAAAACAGGAATTAATACAGCAGAAAAGATGCGCGCATATGAAAGCTATCTAACTCGGATCAATGTTAATGGCGGATTCTCGAATATTATTAATTGGGGTGCGCCGGGGTGCGGATTGGTAATTACGATTAAGACGGAAGTTAGCGGATGTCGTTTAATTACTACCATATTTGGTCATGCAAAAGATCATATTTTGGCAAAACAGGGTCGATGCCGAGAAACACCATCTACATTCAATAAAACTAATTGATGATGTCACTCGGTGATGGGTGGTCGTCGTGATATCGAGTCGGACACTTGCCAGCACGTTTCGGGCGTGTTAGATGGGGTTGACACGCTATAATTTTTTAATATTATAAAGTTTAAACTTTGAAGTTTTTTAGTTTTGTTTAAAAAAAAACGATTCTCAGCAACGACTGAGGATGAGGAAATTGCTTTGTAAAGCTTTTGTGATCCACGAGACGTAATTTACATGCTTGTAAGATCGTGCATATTTCAAGGTCCGTAACTTACAATTCAAATGCTTCATCGTGACGTGATTTAATAATTCTCAATATCCATAAGATTGTGCGACTTATAGTTAATGTAACCATAATGATGTAACCTAACCGACAGACAGACCTAACAGACATTATATTAACGTTATTCAGATTTTTTTTGACTGTTTATACTGAATTTGCTACATATATTTTATCATTTAAAGCCGTTCAAGAATTAAGTTTACCGGTTTGTCGTCATTTTCTGCGATATGGCGTATCTAAAAATTATTCAGACCAAAGTACCCCGTGGGCATTAAGAAGTAAAAATATCTTATAAGGAAGAATTTAAGTTATAATGTTGAATTCCAGGCCAAAGATATAGCAAGAATGCGCCAAGCGATCAACTGGGCCATAGAAGCAGGTTACCGTCACATCGACACAGCATCTCTGTACGGCAATGAAGTTGAAATCGGCCAGGGCATAGCTGATGTAATTAACAGGGGTCTTGTGAAGAGAGAGGACTTGTTTGTTACTACTAAGGTAAGAATTAGGACTGGACCTAGCCGGGTGAGTCAAAAACCTACAGTAAGTGATTATTACTTTTGTGGCACGCAACATGTGTAAGCAGTTTTGCTGCGTTCCACTAAAGCACGCAAAGTAGCCTTGAAGTTGATGTGCGGCTTCGTAAGATCGAAACGGCGGCGTTCGAAAACTCGGGATTTATATAAAGAGTTAAGGTCAGAGATAGGGGCTGTCATCACCGCTCTGGGTCATGATCGGTTCAACAGGTGTCCATTACCACCTAACGAGGCAATGCTGCCAGTGTAATGGAAACTTTTGAGCCGGACATGATACAGGGAGGGATATTTTTTAGTTTAGAAATTTTGGATGAAATCTGCTGTATATCCCAATTTTTGTATTTTAACACCTATTAACGGCGCGTAGTGCTGATATTTAGGTTGTTAGTTTATGATATTTTTTAAAATATCTGTTTTTATTGAATAAGGTTTTAAAATTTGAGCTATCACTAGATTTAGGTTTCTTATCACAGTATGACTTCTTATTATTTACCCAATATTCGTAACGGTAAGATAAGACCTGTAACAAGAAAAACAGAAGAAAGAATATGTTTTATCGTCCCTTATCACTAGGCGCACGACTTGGTCATCCCGTCACTTGGTATATTAAAAAAATATATTAACCACTGAATTGTATATATGCATAGATCTATGAATAGTGACGAAAAGGAATGATCATCAGCAGTCTATTTAAATTCTGATATTTCAACCTGCGCTTACGCGTAGTCGCCTTTACATCATTCGCTTTGGTAAACGCTATTTCCATGATTTTGTTTGGATAGAACCGAACAAACATATGAAAATGCACGTGTACAGCTAGAGATTGTATCAAATGCTGTCAAAGATGCTGAAAAAACCCAAAAGTCAAATTTTTTTGACTTATATATTTTTGAACGACAAACATGCTCGAAACCAAGTTGTACCAGCTATCCGCGAGTCACTTGCCAGGCTTGGTCTCGATTATGTTGACCTCTACCTAATTCATCATCATTTATTTAGGTAGATGTTTGTTTTTCTTGCAGTTGTGGAATGATAAGCATGCAAGGGATCAAGTGGTGCCTGCACTTCAGGAATCTTTAAGTCGCCTTGGATTGGACTATGTCGATCTTTATCTTATTCATTCTCCTGAGTCTGAAAAGGTACCTTATTACGTGAAACTATTTTTAGGTGTATATGAGAAAATAGAAAAAACAAAGGTGTAATTGTAGTCATTTCATAATAAGCTTTGTAAACATCAAACAGTAATTAAAATCAATCAGTCAAACAGTGCTTCTAATCATGAAATGATATTTCCTACAATTTTACCCGGATTACGAACTGTTTTCAGGCTGACGGCACTTCCGCCAACATCGACTACTTGGAAACCTGGCAGGGTATGGAGGAGGCTAAGAGACTCGGCCTGGCGAAGTCGATCGGAGTTTCCAATTTCAACATCGAACAGATTGACAGACTTCTTGCTAACAGCAATATTCCACCTGCTGTTAATGAAATTGAGGTGCATTAAATTTTAAATTAATTACAAGCAGCTTACAATCGTATATTATAAATAAAGATGGACCAAAGTTATGATCATCAACGGTTCCTTTTTTCTTGAAGATTGTGACACTCTCAATGATATTTAAGATAATAGAGAATATAATAATTCGCATTCTCGTCATGTATAGAGGTAGCCCTACAGACAACTCTAAGTAAGCTGACTTAATCTGAGGTAATCGCATAGCGCGATGTCGTTGCTTGAAGAAGAACATGCGTGTTTTTACGTTTCTTGTATTATATTTCTACGATGAAAAGAAGTTTAAGATGAAAGATGAACGCTTTAACTTTGTAGGTTCACCCATCACTAACTCAAACGGACCTAGTAGCACACAACCAAGATCGTAAAATCGTCGTGATGGCATATAGTCCTTTCGGTTTCCTCGTCTCCAGAAACCGACCTAGCGCAGTATCTCTGAGAGCTGATGACCCCGCCCTAGTGAAGATCGCTCAAAAGTATGGAAAGACGACTGGGCAAGTTGTGCTCAGATATCTGGTAAGTATGCAGTGGCATTTGGTAATTATTAAAACTACTGCGTTAATTCGATTAGATATCCTAAAACATCTGAATCACAGCTGCATCATTTGAGATGACACATCATCTCAAAAATCCATGCATCTTTTAATTAATTGAAAAGTAAAGTTATTTATATGGTGTGACAAACTTAAAGTGATAATGATAAAAATTTATTTTATCAACACGATATTGGTGTTTAATAGCAGTACAGCTCCTTGAGAAAGTCGTCTAGCGATGTAGCCATCGTACCTATTTCTGCCGCCAATCAGTGTGATCATTCACAGCGTTCGGGTTTTGAGGGGTAAGCGTGCTGGTGAAACTGGCACATGGAATTTCATGTCTCAGGGTCACTAACAAGCGCACGACTTGTTCGGTCCGTAACTTGATATCACGAAATGTTGGATCCCACTAGAACACTTAACTTTTATTATTTTTGTAAGCATTTCTGCCTTGTTAAAGTCACTATTCTACAGACAGTTGAAGGCTACTTTTGCCGAAGAATAAACTGAGATATCCAAAGAGGAAACGTTGTCAGTTCCCTGGCCACTACGACCTAGTTGCACGGTTATCGATAATTAGAAGAGAGTACAATTTTTTCTTGTCTTCTTTATTGAACATATCAAGTATGTTTACTGTATTTAATACCTTGGAAATTTTATTTAGATTAAATATTGATTTATGCCTTTACAGATTGACCGTGGTATGATACCGATCCCAAAATCCACCGACCAAAACCGCCAGCGGGAAAACATCGATGTATTCGACTTCAAGCTCACTCGTGATGAAATCGAAACTATTAACAGTTTTAATAGTAATACCAGCATTTTCTAAATCACTTATGATTGTTATTGCCTTAATGCTATCTGAATAAAGTTTTTCATTAATTTCTAAAAGTTAA